GAGGTCTTGTCTCAGCTGCATCAAGGAGCCCACTGGGGACCCCAAGCTATGTGTGATGCAGTTCTCAGAGTTTATGGGTGTATAGGAGTATATACCCTAGCCAAACAAGTTACAGATAGTTGCTTATTATGTAAGAATACTAATAAGCAAACGCTAAAAAAATCACCTCTTGGGGGAAGACGTCCAGGACTAAGACCATTCCACAGTATCCACACTGATTATACAGAAATGCCTCAATTGGTTGCCTAAAATACCTATTAGTAATAGTAGATCACCTCACTCGCTGGGTAGAAGCTATTCCCTTTTCAAACACAACTGCTAATAATCTGGTTAAGGCATTAATTGAAAATATTGTACCCAGGTTTGAAATAATAAAAAACATTGATTAAGATAATGGAACTCATTTTACTGCAAATATTGTTAAAGGGCTTACTCAAACTCTAGGAATAAATTGTGAATAACATATTCCATGGCATCCACCTTCATCAAGGAAGGTAGAAAAAAATGAACCAAACTTTAAAGAATCATTTAAATTGATTTTGAAAACTTGATTTGCCTTGGACCACCTGTCTCCCCATTGCCTTGCTCGGAATTCGAACTGCCCCTTAAAAAGACATTATATATTTGGTTTATCTTCTACTTTGTCTTCTCTTAGGACCCAGGGTCTCTTAGCACAAACACCACCTCTTGAGTTCCCAGTGCATCCATGTCGATCTGGAGATTATGTCCTCATCAAAAGCCGGAAAGAAGAAAAACTCAAACCAACCTGGGAGGGACCTTATCTAGTGCTCCTAGCCACTGAGACAGCAGTCTGGACCGTTAAGAAAGGGTAGACCCACCACACTCAGGTGAAAAAGGCATCACCCCCTTTGGAGTCATGGGTCATCACTCCCGGGCCAACACCTTCCAAACTAATACTCAGAAAAGCTTAACCCGTCTAACTTGCTTCCTCTTTCTTCTGTTAGCTACCCAGGAACATTTTATTATCAATGTAACCCGATTATCATTTCCTCAAACAATTACATTTGATGCTTGTCTTGTTATGCCCTGTGGGGACCTACAAACCCAAAGGTAACTAGCCTCTTTAGGGAAGTACCTTTGCCCTGGTCCTCTAGAACACACAGAACCCACCCCTAATTTTCACCGTTGTGACCATCTAGCATGGTACTTGAAATCCTGTAGCTCTTGGGAACATTTTTATTGGACCACCCAGTACCAAGGCTGGACTTTCACGGAAGGTCCCTGTGCCGCCCTAAAGCCTTATCTCCACATCGCTAAATGAACCACCCCTTCTAATTGTCAATCCTACCAATGTAACCCAGTCCTCATCTCCACTACTGCTTCTACTTCCATTGACCCTAAGCCCACCTTAGGCTGTCTCTACGGTTTAGGAGCAAATGTTGCTGGAAGGGACCCTATAGCCTCCTTGAAATACATTTTTGTCCACCATTCTCCACCTCCTACCACTTCACCTTCCCTAAATCCACCAAATCAAATAGTGGGTGCCACTCCTCACCCCCTTCCCAATGACAAAACTAAAGTAGCTATTGTAAAAGTAAAAGATTTAGAACAGACTTTAGCAATTGAGACTCGATACCAAGAAGCAAATGCCTGCATGGAATGAACTGAATATTCTGTTAACACTGTAAACAAAAGCAGTTGTTACACTTGTGAACATGGTAGGCCAGAGGCCCAGGTTGTCCCCTTTCTACTCGCATGGCCTTCAAATCAACCGGGCATGGACTGTATGGTAGCTCTCTTCTAGCACCCCACAGCCTGGGGTAATAAGTCATGCCAAGCTCTTTCTCTGTTATTCCCCGAAGTCCAGCACCCTGTAGGTCAGTCCCTGAGGGCCACCCAGCTTCCATCTTCTGATGCCAATTTTACTTTGTGTCTCTCATGACAGGGAGAAAATTGAGCCTTCCTTGGAGACCTAAAGGGATGCAGTGAGCTTAAGCCTTTCCAAGAGCTTACCCATCAGTCTGCCCTTACTCATCCTTGAGTGGATGTATGGTGGTACTGTGGTGGACCCTTACTGGACACTGCCAAACAACTGGAGCAGTACTTGCACTCTAATTCAATTGGCCATCCCTTTCACCCTGGCATTCCATCAACCAGAAAAAGGAAAAACAATACCATAAAACAAGAGAGGCCCCTCATGGATCTTTTGATTCTCACGTTTATACAGATACCATTGGAGTCCCACAAGGGGTACCAGATAAATTAAAACATGAAACTAAACAGCTGCAAGGTTTGAATCCTTGTTCTGGTGGGTAACTGTTAATAAAAACGTGGATTTGATAAATTATATCTACTATAACCAACAACAATTTGTCAATTATACTAAGGATGCCATTAAAGGAATAGCTAAGCAATTAGGGCCACTAGCCAAATGGCCTGTGAAAATAGGATGGCACTAGATATGATACTAGCAGAAAAAGATGGAGTCTGTATCATGATAGGAACCCAATGTTGTACCTTCATCCCTAACAATACAGCCCCTGATAGAACAATCAATAAACCTCTACAAGGTCTTACCTCCTTATCTAATGAGTTAAACCAGGAATTCTGGGGTAAATGACCCTTTACAGGATGATTAGAAAGGTGGTTTGGTAAATGGAAAGGACTCACGGCTTCTATTTTTACTTCCCTCGCAATTATAGTTAGGGTACTCATTCCCACTGGCTGCTCTATCATACCCTCTATTCATGGATTAGTTCAATAAAACAATAACTTATAAAAACAGCCCCTACTGGCTGGGCACGGTGGCTCAAGCCTGTAATCCCAGCACTTTGGGAGGCTGAGGCGGGTGGATCACAAGGTCAGGAGTTTGAGAACTGCCTGGCCAAGATGTTGAAACCCTGTCTCTACTAAAAATACAAAAATTAGCAGGGCATGGCGATGCGTGTCTGTAATCCCAGCTACTGGGGAGGCTGAGGCAGGAGAATGGCTTGAACCCAAGAGGTGGACGTTGCAATAAACTGAGATCATGCCACTGCACTACAGCCTGGGAGATAGAGCAAGGCTCCATCTCAAAAAACAAAAACAAAAACAAAACAGACCCTACTAAAACTTCATTTCTTTTCCACCCTATTCTGACAAGCTTTTACAAAAGAACAAGCTTGTCAAAAAGAACAGCAAAGTCAAGACATGTTAAATAAGTTTGAAGAAGAAAATGTATAAATTCTCAGAGGGGGAAAAGTATTAGGAACAGTTTCTCTTCAAAGGGTTTCACCCCCCTAGTCCTTCATTCTATTTTGTAAGTAAGCTTTCCTGCCTTTAACACGCCCAGGCATGCCTCCATTTACCATGGTTGTAGCTGACCCACACCACCTTACTTGAAGTTGTTAGGTACAAACAATAAACTTCCTGGTTCTTTGTCCTATTCTAAATGCTAAATCTAGTCAATTGGGATCAGTTTGGATTGTACAATCCGACCCCAATTAATGGCGGGAGGACACAGAAACAGGAATGGCATTAGGAATAAAAACCCCTGCTTTCCTTTGTTCAGTGTGCTCTTGTGATCATCACTGATGCAGGCAGCACCTTTCTGTGGAAGTAAATTTACCTTGCTGAGAAATCTTTTGTTTGAGTGCTCATTTTCTTTGAGACTCCGAGCTCTTGTTTTTAACATAGGCAATAACATTCAGGACATAGGCATGGGCAAAGATTTCATGACTAAAACACCAAACGCAACAGCAACAAAAGCCAAACTTGACAAATGGGATCTAATTAAACTAAAAAGATTCTGCACAGCAAAGGAAACTATCATCAGAGTGAACAGGCAACCTACAGAACGGGAGAAAATTTTTGCAATCTATCCATCTGACAAAGGGCTAATATCCACAATCTATAAAGAACTTAAATTTACAAGAAAAAACAACCCCATCAAAAAGTGGGTGAAGGATATGAACAGACACTTCTCAAAAGAAGACATTCATGTAGCCAACAAACATATGAAAAATAGCTCATCACTGGTCATTACAGAAATGCAAATCAAAACCACAGTAAGATACTACCTCATGCCAGTTAGAATGGCGATCATTAAAAAGTCGGGAAACATGCTGGACAGGACGTGGAGAAATAGGAATGCTTTTTATACTGTTGGTGAAAGTGTAAATTAGTTCAACCATTGTGGAAGACAGTGTGGTGATTCCTTAAGGATCTACAGAACCAGAACTACCATATGATCCAGCAATCCCATTACTGGGTATATACCCAAAGGATTATAAATCATTCTAATATAAAGACACATGCACATGTACATTTACTGCAGCACTATTTACAATAGCAAAGACTAGGAATCAACCCAAATGCCCATCAATGATAGACTGGATAAAGACAAAGTGGCATGTATATAACTTGGACTACTATGCAGTCAAAAAAAAAAAAAAAGGAATTTGTGTACTTTGCAGTGACATGAAGCTGAAAACCATCATTCTCAGCAAACTAACACAAGAACAGAAAACTAAACACATGTTCTCACTCATAAGTAGGAGATGAACAATGAGAACATGTGGAAACAGGGAGGGGAACATCACACACCAGGGGCTGTTGGGCGGTGGGGGGCTAGGGGAGGGATAGCATTAGGAGAAATACCTAATGTAGATGACAGGTGCAACAAACCACCATGGCATGTGTATACCTATGTAATGCAACTGCACATTTTGCACATGTACCCCAGAACTTAAACTATAATTAAAAATAAGTAATTTCAACTTCGCTGTACATATTTGACACTTTTCATGATAAAATGGGGGTGGGGGAAGACAATCTTGGCAATCACCAATTCTCTTTCTGCTCCCTTTACTACAGAAATACAAGTGGCATTTACTACCTAAGGGTGTCTTCTCCAGAGACAGATTCATGGGAACACTCTAAGTAAAAACTTACTTACCTTTACACCTTCTGTCCTAGCTTGGAAACATATTCATTTCTTATAATCAAACCGCTTATATGAGTCAACTAAATTACTAAAATTCCTGTGTGTTTATACGAACCTTACAGGCTCCATTACTGGTTAACATGTTTGGTTTCAAACAATTCCTTTGAAATAATAATACTGTTTTAATACGTCTTTGAAGTTTTGCTATTTTTGCCTAGAAGAAAAAAAGAAAAGAAATAAATACTAAGACAGAGTGCTATATATCATTATAGAGATGGAGGGTCAATTATTTGCCAAAGTAGTTGTGTAAGACTTACACATCTATCCAAATGAGAAATTCTAATATATGCAAAAGCTTGAAATAACATTTTATGCTATATATATATATATATGAGACAGAGTTTCGCTCTTTTTGCTCAGGCTGGAATGCAATGGTGTGATCTCAACTCACTGCAACTTCTGCCTCCCAGGTTCAAGCCATTCTCCTGCCTCAGCCTCCCAAGTAGCTGGGATTACAGGCATGTGCCATCACACCTGGCTAATTTTGTATTTTTAGTAGTGTCAGGGTTTCTCCATGTTGGTCAGGCTGGTTTTGAACTCCCGACCTCAGGTGATCCACCTGCCTCTGCCTCCAACGGTGCTGGGATTACAGGCATGAGCCACCATGCCCAGCCTATGCTTCTATAATATTAAAGTTAAGGAAGACAAAAATCTCAAACTTCGGTCGGGCGCAGTGGCTCATGCCTGTAATCCCAGCACTTTCGGAGGCAAGGCGGGCGGATCACTTGAGGTCAGGAGTTTGAAACCAGCCAGACCAACATGGAGAAACCCCATCTCTACTAAAAATACAAAAAATTAGCTGGATGTAGTGGCAGGGGCCTGTAATCCCAGCTACTCGGGAGGCTGAGGCACGACACCTGCTTGAACCTGGGAGGTGGAGGTTGCAGAGAGCCGAGATCACGCCACTGCACTCCAGCCCGGGTGACAGAGTGAGACTCTTTTTAAAAAAAAAAAAAAAAGGCCACGGGCAGTAGCTCACGTTTGGAATCGCAGCACTTTGGGAGGCCAAGGCAGGTAGATCACGAGGTCAGGAGATTGAAACCATCATGGCTAACACAGTGAAACCCGTCTCTACTAAAAATACAAAAAAATTAGCCAGGCGTGGTGGCAGGCGCCTGTAGACCCAGCTACTGGGACTTGCAGTCCAGAGCTTGCAGTGAGCTGAGATCGCACCACTGCACTCCAGCCAGGGAGACTGAGCAAGACTCCATCTCAAACAAACAAACAAAACAAAACTTCTAACTGGTCTACAATAAAATTAATGTGGGTAAAAATATCAGTTAGCAAGTAATCCTAGAAGAGGAAAACAAAAAGTAAAAAAAAGCTTGAAACAGGTTATATGAGTTCTAATAAAGGATATATTTAGATTTAAAAGACACTGCCTATGTAATTTTTTTGTTTTGTTTTTTGAGATGGAGTCTTGCTGTCAACAGACTGGAGTGCAGTGGTGCAATCTCAGGTCACTGCAACATCTGCCTCCCTGGTTCAAGCAATTCTCCTGCCTCAGCCTCCCAAGTAGCTGGGACTACAGGCACATGCCACCATGCCCAACTAATTTTTGTATTTTTAGTAGAGACTGGGTTTCACCATGTCGTCCAGGATGGTCTCGATCTCTTGACCTTGTGATCCACCCGCCTTGGCCTCCCAAAGTGCTGGCATTACAGGCATGAGCCACTGTGCCCGGCCAAAATTGCCTAAGTATTAAGCCTGTCAATTGACACAGAATGCCTAACAGTTCTATGAATATTTCTCAAAAGCCAATATTGCTAAGCTATAATAAATTACATTGTCTATGATATGTTCTTACATTAGGCTAATGGCCAGGAATCAGGTATGTCTTCCCTTACTGTTTTCCTTTACGAATATGAAAAATACCACCAAATTCTTCCTTTTACTGCCTCAAAAAAAAAAAAGAAAAGAAAAGGACTCAAATGGGCCAGGTGTGGTGACTCACACCTGTAGTCCCAGCACTCTGCGGGGCTGAGGCTAGAGAATCACTTGAGCTCAGGAGTTCGAGGGCAGCCTGGGCAACTGGTAAAACCTCATTTCTACAAAAAAATCCCCAAAATTAGCAGGGCATGGTGCTGTGCGCCTGTAGTCCCAGCTACTCTGGAGACTGAGGAGGGAGGACTGCTTGAGCTCAGGAGGCAGAGGCTGCAGTGAGCCACCGTACTGCAGCCTGAGCAACAGAGCAAGAACACCCCCCACTCCCCTAAAAAGGACTAAAATGAAATCAAAACTTACCAAGAGTTTATCAGCTATTCCTTCATGTTTATTTCTGCACTCTGTCTTCCCAATGCGTTGGTTCAATTCTTTCAGTTTCTTATCAAATAGTTCGTAATTTATACTATAGATCTCCTGTTGAATCAAATGTCTGACCTAGAATTTTAAAATAAAAACCAAAACACCCCACGTTTCAAATTTAAAAGCAATTTTATTTTCTACTTAAAAAAAAAAAGCCATGCTCTTTTCCAGATTTACTATAACCAATTATAGTTTGTTTATTTATATTTGTATGTTTATATAACTATACCAGTAAGTTTTATAAAACTTGAATATTAAACTCAGAACACACCCAATATTTAAGTATACTGGACATGTTAGAAATTCAATTTATTCTCATAATGCTAACTTTAGTTTCCTAGAGTTCCACTTGAATTCCATATTATACATTATAGAAACAATTAAAAGACTATATACCATTTATATTTTTTAATGTCTATAACTCCTAGTTAGTATTCCATATAAAGGAACTCTACTTATCTGAAAACCAGAGCCTGATGAAAATGGTTGGTCTGTAGTAGATATAGAACAAATTACACAAGTGTGAGACTGGACATTACCACTAATGAGCTACCTTTAGTCAGTCGCATTATTTTTGAGCTTCATTTTCCTTCTTGACAAATGAGTAGATAATATAATAAATGTTGAACAAGCGATACTCAAAGGATTTTTATAGGAACATAAAGTAATACGCAAAAGAGTACCATAAAATAAAAAACACTGAATTGATATGAAAGAAATAAATATGCAAGATAATCACCACTACTTCCATAACTTTTTAGGGCGTGGCTTTCTTATTGTTAAAATTTAAATATCAATCGGCTGGTTAGCTCAGCTGGTTAGAGCATGGTGCTAAAACTGAAAGAAGGGTACAATAGCTCATGCCTGTAATCCCAACACTCTGGGAGGCCGAGGTGGGCAGATCACGAGGTCAGGAGTTGAAGACCAGCCTGACCAACAGGGTGAAACCCCGACTCTACTAAAAATACAAAAATTAGCCAGGCATTGTGGCAGGTGACTATAGTCCTAGCTACTCAGGAGGCTGAGACAGGAGAACTGCTTGAACCCGGGAGGTGGAGGTTTCAGTGAGCCGAGATCACGCCACTGTACTCCAGCCTGGGTGACTGAGCAAGACTCCATCTCAGAAAAAAAAAAAAAAAAAAAAAGTAGGGGGGAAGCCAAGGACAATTATGTAGTTACCAATGTTATCTGGCATCATGCGTGCCGTTCTAACAAATCGTAGTAGTTATAATATGAAAAATTAACAAACTTCATTATCTTTTTTTTTTGAAAACAGACTGGCCCATTTTCAGGGAAAATAATTTCAATGCCACTGATAGGACCAGCTCTGCTGAGCCATACATTGAAAATAACTTCAATGCCACTGATAGGAGCAGCTCTGCTGAACCATACATTCAGAAACATTCACTGTAGTTTTTTACTCAGTGTGTATCCTTCTGGTAAGCAATTTTCATCACAGTGTATGTAGTCTTTGTTAATACGACCTGCTATGCTACATTTAAAGTATTTAAAATATTTACATATTTTTTCCTCCAGTATCTTGCTTCATGATGCTCAAAACAGAACACATAGTTCCCACGTTAAACTCTTATATTGATATCACCTGGATGATTATATTCTTTAATTTTGATCATTCCCAAGGCTCTTCCTTCCTGTTTCCAAGTGTTCTTACTCTTCAACATTGTCTACTTCATCTCTTCTCTAATGCTTGCTTCACTAACATTTCTTCCATGGTTTCTCTACATTATTAGACATGATTGTCACTTTACTTTCATAACTTTTAAACAGGTGAGCAAATGAATGTGCTCAAAATGTATGATGTTTAAAAAAAGGCTTAGAAACACATACTATTATTATTATTATTTTTTTTTTTGAGACAGAGTCTTACTCTGTTGCTCAGGCTACAATGCAGTGGGGCGTGATCCCAGCTCACTGCAACCTCCACCCACCAGGTTCAAGTGATTCTCCTGCCTCAGCCTCCCTAGTAGCTGAGACTACAGGCATGCTCCACCATGCCCAGCTAATTTTTATATTTAGCTGAGACAGAGTTTCGCCATTGTTGGCCAGGTTGGTCTTGAACTCCTGACCTCAAGTGATCCACCCACCTTGGCCTCCCAAAGTGCTAGGATTACAGGCATGAGCCACCATGTCCGGCCAATACTATTATTTTTACCGATGACCATTACCTATTATTCGTGTGGTGTTTTATGATCACATGTTTGTTAGTTCACTGGCTGGGTTCAATATGTGAAGCTCATACCCACATGAATCTTGGAGAAACAGATCTAAATGTTTTGAACGTGGAGACACTGTTTTGTACAGTGTTTCTCTAACAGTGTTCCTCATCCTTGGTGAGGAACAATCACAGGGAATGGTTGTTAAAATCAAATTCCTAGGCCCCATCCTGGATCCACCAAACACAATCTTTTGGAAAGGAGCCTGGAAAGTTGTATACTAAACAGTTACTACAAATTGTTTTTATCAGGTACGTTTGAGAAAGCAGTAGCCTAAAACAACAGTCTTCAACTATGAGTTCAAGAAACCACAATTTAAACAAGTACTCCCCCTGGTGGTTCAGATTGGGACAGGTCCTTAAATTTGATCATTTTAGACTAAGTACCCACCATGGGGTAACTCCTGTCGGTTAGACTATACATTTGTTCTAATTTAATGGTAATGTTCCTTATACAGAAGGAAGACACAATAACCTCCATCAAATACCTCATAAATGTTTTTACCAATGGTAATGTGCCCATCAACAGGGAATCAAATTGAAGTCTTGGTTTCAAAGCGGAGATGGCAGCCAAACTGGCCTGAAGTTTGGAGAAAGTATAAACTTATCTCCAATCTGTGCCAACTTTCTGAGATAGTGGGTAGAGTGAATAACTTAAGACTGTAAAGGAAAAACCCTTCCTCTTCAGTAATTTAACTGGAATTAACCAGGCCATGCTCCTTATGAAACCTCAAAAGGCTAAGAAACGATCACTGTAGGACTCTTTCAGTAGGGGAGAACAATGTCAGAATGATGGGGAGGGCTATCTCATTGAGATTCAAACAAAGTAAACATATAGATATGGTTCAGAGAGATAACTGTTTGGACAGGAATAAGAAGTGAGGAAAAGCTAGCTATTTAGAGATGGTTATGTACACATCAGAACTTACTTCCGGCTGGGTGCGGGGGCTCACACCTGTAATCCCAGCACTTTGGGAGGCCGAGGCGGGCGGATCACTTGAGATCAGCAGTTCAAGACCAGCCTGGCCAACATGGCAAAACCTGTCTCTACTAAAAATACACACAAAAAATTAGCTGGGCATGCTAGTGCACACCTGTAGTCCCAACTACTCAGGAGGGGGAGGTAGCACTGAGCCAAGACTGTGCCACTGCACTCCAGTCTGGGTGACAAAGTGAGATTCTGCCTCAAACAAATGAGCAAACAGAAACTTCTCACTTCAGCTACTAATTACTGGAAACAAGACACAGCTGGAATCCCCAACCTTCTTCTTGAATAACATGGTCCTTAGGGCTAGGATCTATGCTTACCATACTTCTACCCTTTCCCTGCCAACAACAGAACACTTACATATTTTTTATTGTGTCTCCTTTGCTCTTCTTTGAAGAAAACCAAAAGGTAGACCGGGAAAAACTGCCGACTCACCGTTTAAGCTGGTTCTGCATAAGTCTTTCTCTTTATTTTCCCTTACTATTAGGTGAAGAATACACATTCATAGTATATGTAACTATGTAATTGTAATGGTCTGTTTTCAAAAGTAGTGTTTCTGTTTCTGAAACACTTGCAGGGCAGTTTGGATGGGGACATTTTGGTCCATTACAGCTGGGAGACATTAGTCTACCACATAATGATTTATAGTGGTGGCATTCTAGTGGTAGTGAAATAGGAAAACATGGTCATCAAAACGCGTCCTGAGTATAGCCATTCTACTAGAACTGAAACACGCTACACTTCAGCTAAAAATTGATCAGACACATATTGAGACTGTAGTACAATGAGGTAAAATGAGGCCACAATGAAAGCAAGAAGTGTATTTAATGATGCTATAAAGCCAAATGTCAGACAATGCACCATATCCGTTTAAGTTTGGAAAATAGGGCAAGGAACCTGAATGCAGAGGGACTTTGCAATGGACTTTCAGGTTGAGTCTTCTGGGTTGTGGTGAGATCTACAAACGGATATAGCTGCAGATCTAAGAACCCCATGACCAGTACAAAAGACACTGGATTGTTTAACAAAGCTGAAGGTCATGCAGTGTCTGACTTACAGACAAATCTGAGTGTCATACTGACTGAAAGCCCATTCTCTTTTTGCAACAGGACTCTACCTACACATGATCCCTAGGTTATTCTGCATGAGAGCATTTTCAAGAAACCAGAGCTGTTTGGTGATGCAAACAATTCTCTCTCCCCAGTCTGTCTGATAACTTGGCTTTCACATACCAGCTTTGCATCAAGTCAAAGTTGTCTGTGTTATGTCATTGTGGAGACCAGATAATTAACTTTTACCATGTTTTACTAATCAAAAGTAAAAGTTTTATTTAAGTCCCAATATTTTACCTGTTCCAGGAATGCTGTTTGCCTTTCCAAACTTACACAAATATTTTCAGTAATTTGCTCTGAAGTTTTCATGCGTTTAACATTTTCTTTGTTTTCTGAAAACATTCTCTTCTTTTGATAATGGCCTTGAGGAGATGGAAAAATTAGAAAGATATTTTAAAGAAAAAAACAAGTTCATCGTGGTGGCTCATGTCTGTAATCCCAGCACTCTGGGAGGCTAAGGAGGGACGATGGCTTAAGGCCAGGAGTTCAAAACCAGCCTGGGCAACATAGTGAAAATTCATCTCTACAGAAAATTTAAAATTAGCTGGGTAGGGTGGGACATGCCTGTAGTCTCAGCTACTCAGGAGGCTCAGGTGAGAGGATTGCTTGAGCCTGGGAAGTTGAGGTGGCAGTGAGCACCTCAACCACTGCACTCCAGCCTGGGCAACACAGTGAGACCCCGTTTCAAGGAAGAAAAAAAGAGAAAGAAATAGGAATTCTCTAACTTAGAGACCCTCTGAGCAAATGGAAAAACTAAAATGTGACACTGCAGCATTTTTTAGAATGTTCAATTGAATAAAAACATACCCACAAACTAATCTTAAAAAAAAATGAGTTATCTTAGGTAGGGTTCTGGTCTCAGACACACTGTCCCTTCAATTTTACTTAATAATTCAATACAAATATACGAACAAAAACTTAACAAATTATGGCATTTAATTCTCTATTTATAGTGACTTAAGTGGTTCTACGTTATTTTATATAAAGGTACTCTTTTTTCATTTTGAGAAGGAGTCTTGCTCTTGTCGCCCACACTACAGTGAAGTGGCACGATCTCCGCTCAATGCAACTTCCGCCCCTCCAGGTTCAAGCAATTCTCCTGTCTCAGTCTCCCGAGTAGCTGGGATAATAGGTGCCCCCCACCATGCCTGGCTAATTTTTTTCGTATTTTTAGTAGAGACGGGGTTTCGCCATGTTGGCCAGGTTGATCTTGAACTCCTGACCTCAGATGATCCACCTGCCTTGTCCTCCCAAAGTGCTGGGATTATAGTTGCTAGGCACAGTGCGTGGTTTTTTTTTTGTTTTTTTTTTTTTTAAGAGACAAGGTCTTGGATCTGTTGCCCAGGCTGGTCTGGAGAGCTTAAGCGATCCTCCTGCCTTGGCCTTCCAAAGTGCTGCGATTACAGGCATGAGCCACCGCACCCAGCCAGTCATATTATACATATTTTAAATAGATGATACTGTTATTATTTTTAAGTAATTTTAAATTCATCTTGTTAAAAGACCATTCTGTAATCTAGACAAGAACACAACATTTATAGCATTAAATCAGTTTTTTTCTATTTCATTAACAAAACACCCTACTTCAAATGAAATTCACTTTTGCTATTTTAATGATGTTATAACCCAAGGACTTCATTTTACTATTTGGGGTGCTTCTCTTTCTCTACACACACATATATACACGTGTGAATATATTATCTATCATCTTATACTTAGCATGTGATTTACAGGTCAATTCTACAGAAATAGGGTTGGCTGGGTGCGGTGGCTCACGCCTGTAATCCCAGCACTTTGGGAGGCAAAGGCGGGTGGATCACGAGGTCAGGAGTTCGAGACCAGCATGACCAACACGGTGAAACCCCATCTCTACTAAAAATACAAAAAAAATAAAAAATAAAAAAAAACCACTTAGACAGGCGTAGTGGTGCCCACCTGTAATCCCAGCTACTCAGGAGGCTGAGGCAGGAGAATCACTTGAACCTGGGAGGTGGGGGTTGCAGTGAGCCGAGACTGCGCCACTGCACTCCAGCCTGGGCGACAGAGCAAGACTCCGTCTCAAAAAAGAAAAAAAAAAAGAAAAAAAAGAAAGAAATAGGGTTACCAACAATTTTTAAAACCCACTCTCCTTAAACTAGCCTCCTTCTTAATCTAATAAAACTTCAAAATAAGAAGAGATGTATATGAAATGAACCAAATAATTGCTATAAACCACCTTTTGATATTCTGTACTTAAGGAAAAGTGATTGATTCCTTCTTTGCAATAATTACCCTTTTAATATAGTGGATACCTGTCCCCCACCTCACCAAGAATGGTTCAGAAACAAGATACTGTGATATTGCTGTCATCATTTACCTTTTTCCTGTCTATATTCTACTTGTTCGTATATTTGAGACTTTAAAATACCCCAAGGAAAACTGACTATTTTAATTTTTCTAAAAGGTGCATAAGTATATACTTACTGTTGTTATTAGTGTCAAGTGATGACTGCCATGTTGAGTCTGCACTTTCACAATTTGAAATACTGGAAGGACAGGTTCTACTACACTCATTGGTTTTCAAAATGTCATCAGCACAGTGGTTAGAAGTGACTGAATTCACTAAATTAGGTGTTTTCTCAACAGGCACAAAACCTGACTCTTCTGAACATAAAATGTTGTCACCTTGTCTTTTACCATGTGATTCTGAATTGGAGTTTGTTTCTAAATGGAAAACCATCTGGTCAGTTTTATCATCCACGGTACTGGTTACTGTAGACTCTGGCATCTGAACACCACCACTCAATACACTGGGTGGACAGCAACTGGACTTCAGACTACAAGCCCCTTCATGCTCAAAAAGGGATCTTGTTACATTTGTCTGACACTCAGAATCATTTTCAGAAGTGTTCAGTGAATCTTTTGCCTCTTCTATGAAGACTTTGCTGGGGGAATCTGTTGTTTTACTTGGCTTTTGGTCCAAACAAACAACTTGTTCCAATTTTGTTTCTGAATGAATGATTTCTTCTACTGGTTTTATGCAATTCTGAGAGAATACGTTACATTTCTCTGATATTGAATTTTTATTAGAGTCCAATGAGGATGCACCATTTTCAGAAGGGCTACATTTGGTAGTTAAGACACTAGGACTGAAACGCTGATTACCACTTGGAACATTACTCCCAATTGCTGCTGTTTTCAGTGCTTCAACATTCCTGGACTTATTCAGCATCTCTACTTGCTTCCGGCAACTTAGGGGCATTGTTTTTTTTGCTTTTAATATCTTCCGTTTAATTCTATCTGGACTTGCCATCTTTCATATCCTGGAATTCAAGACATCATATTTAAGTGCATTCCTCCAGCGAATAAAAGTTATTTACTACTGAAATAAAGTTATTTATTTAGAATATTAAAATAACATTGATACTGTCTCTCCAGATAATCACCTTAATGAAAATTATATCCATTTTCATGTCACTGAAAACAGAAATCATTTCTATTGTTTCTATAAATCAAAACTATATAAATTCAAAATCTGTATTGCTAGTAAGCCTCTACCTGATAGTTTTATCTAGCCACTTCTTGTTGTATCACCTCAGTGCCATAACCATTCACTATTTACTCATCAAGGTAAGTCAGAGTTTAAATAATCTAAAGATTAAATTGTACTAATTCATAAAAACAAAAAAAAAAGTTTTGTATAAAACATTCCATTTTCTATACATAATGGCATCTGTTTAAGATTTCCTAATGTTCAAGTTTCTAAAATAAATGTGGCCGGGTGTGGTGGCTCATGCCTGTAATCCCAGCACTTTGGGAGGCCGAGGCGGAAGAATTATTTGCAGTCAGGAGTTCGAGACCAGTCTGGCCAACGTGATGAAACCCTGTCTCTACTAAAAATACAAAAATTAGCCAGGCATGGTGGCATGCACCTGTAATCCCAAGCTACTCGGGAGGCTGAGGCACAAGAATCACTTGAACCTGGGAGGTGGACGTTGCAGTGGGCCAACATCGCCCCACTGTACTCCAGCCTGGGCAACAGGGTGAGATGGTCTCAAAAAAAATAAAATAAAATAAAATAAGCACTAAGATACCTAACATTCCAGCTTAAATAAACAAGCCAACTAACCGGGCGCAGTGGCTCACGCCTGTAATCCTAGCACTTTAGGATGCTAAGGTAGGTGGATCACCTGAGGTCTGGAGTTCAGGCCAGCCTGGCCAACAGGGCAAAACACCATCTCTATTAAAAATACAAAACTTAGCCGGGCGTGGTGGCACATGCCTGTAATCCCACCTTCTGGGAGGCTGAGGCAAGTGAATCACTTGAACTCAGGAGGCAGAGGTTGCAGTGAGCCAAGATAGTGCCACTGTACCCCAGCCTGGGCTACAGAGCGAGACTCTGTCTTAAACAAACAAACAAACCTGATATGTATACTAAATAAATCCAGAAAAACAGAAGAACACTCTTCATTAAGACCCTAATGTGCCTATATATTTTTCCTATAGGACTGTGTATTATTTGATTGTCTCTTCGTGAATACAATTCTTGCATTATTTTCCAAAGAAAATGAACAAATCAAATCTTTTCTCTAGCATGGTTTAATGATGTATTTGCTAAAACTGATAATCATGATGCATAAAACTAGCAGCTTTGCCTGAAGACACTGCTACAGTTTTGTGTCCTACAAATAAAAACATTCCTATATTATTTTAAAGGGAGAATTCAACCAGGTGTGGCACATGCCTGTGGTCCCAGCTACTGAGGAGGCTGATGCAGGAGGTTCACTTGAGCCCAGGAATTAGACACTGCCGTGATCTGTGATTGCACCACTGCACTCCAGCATGGGTGACAGAGCGAGACCTTGTCTCAAAGAAAGAAAAAGAAAAAAAAAAAAGCAGGATTCCTATAAAAAAAAGAAAATAAAAATATGGTGAATTTATAATTGAATGTGGTATGTTGTTATTTCTGACAGGAGAAAAGTGCTGTTTTGACTGGAAATTGATGAGAACGAAATCCTATACTTAAAATTTTAAACATCAGATAATTGGGAATTTTTTCCTGATTACCTTCTGGTTTCATAAATTTCAAACTTTGGCTTCTCTAATACTCACATATTACAGGTGCCAGGCACCAGAGACCACATTCCCAACACAATCAGGCTGACAGGCTATAATTACCTACATCCAGAAATGACTCTGAATCACAAACACATCCCACTAAACACAAACAAAGCCACCAATCACAAAATGCCTGAAACCACTCTACTGCCAGCTGACACAAAGAAGAAATCAAGGTGAAGAGAGACAGGGGTCTCAAATGACTATACTTAAAATATCTTACTATTGTAAATCTGATGAAAACGTCCAACCACGCGAACATATTGTTACTATGGCCCTTCTAAGGGCCTTTGGAAAAGGCCCAAACTAGTAAAAAGTGCTGGAATTTAAGCTCTAGAGTAAAAAAGTACCTCTACATTTGATGCATACAAAAGACTTGTAATATGTGTTAATTACAAAGTATAATAAAGTGAACATCTTTGAAACACCCACAACAAATAAGTAGAATACTATCAGTAACCTGCATTTACTCATGTTTCTCCAAACAATGCCCCTTGCACCTCTTCTCCATCCTGATGAAGTTTCCTAAACTTAGTTTATAATTCTATTACTTTTTCTACAGTTTCATCATAAATGTCATATGTAAACAAATATACTGTTTAATTTTGTTGAGCAAATTATAGCTAATACTTGTTTTTTCAGTTATATGTATGTATAAAATTCATCCATGTGCTTCTGTATAGCAATAATTCATGTTCTTCTTTGCACTGTAATAATTCATTGGGCAGATATTCCAAAATTTGTTTATCTGATCATTTCTGAAAGATCTTTAGGTCACATCCAGTTGCTTTTTTTTTTTTTTTTTTGAGACAGGGTCTTGCTGCTCTGTTACCCAGGCTGGAGTGCAGCATGGCTCACGGCAGCTTCAACCTCCCAGGCTCAAGCTATCCTCCCACCTCAGCCTCCTAAGAGACTGGGATTACAGGCATGCACCACCACACTTGGCTAATTTGTAAAAAAAATTTTGTGGATATTGGGTCTTACTATGTTGCCCAGGCTAGTCTGAAACTCCTGGACTCAAGTGATCCTCATGCCTCAGCCTCCCAAAGTGCTGGGATTACATCTCCAGTTCTTGTTGATGTTCTGACACAACAACACTATTCTGAACACTTCTGTCTCAAGATGCTTATGTGTAAGCATTTCCTGGGTGAATTTCTGGATGCTAATAAGGTATCTATGTTCAACTTTTCAAGAAAGCCAAATTATTTCCTGGAGCAGTTCTACCAGGTTGCATCTATACAGTCAATATATAAGAGTTACCACTGAGCCACATCCTCTTGAACCCTTGGTACTGTCAGACTTGATTTTAGTCAATCTATTTGGATAAAGAATTAGCTCTCATTGTCTTAATTTGCCTTTCCCTAATTACTGTCATCTTTTCCTATGTTTATTAGCTATGTTTACTTGTCTGTAAAAATTCCTGGTTATTTCCTGCTCATGACTTCTTGGGTGTTTTTCCTCTCTCATTTTTAAAGCATACTTAACACATTATAAACCATATTCCAGCCAGGTGTGGTGGCTCACGCCTGTAATCCCAGCACTTTGGCAGGCTGAGGTGAATGGATCACCTGAGGCGAGTTCAAGACCACCCTAGCCAACAGGGTGAAACCCTGTCTCTACTAAAAACTACAAAAATTTGCTGGGCGTGGTGGCACACGCCTGTATTCCCAGCTACTTGGGAGGATGAGGCAAGAGAACCACTTGAACCCAGGAGGTGGAGGTTGTAGTGAGCTGAGATCACATCATTGTACTTTAGCCAGGGCAACAGTTGGACGTTGTCTTAAAAAAACAAAAACCAAAAACAATAACATATTCCTTCGTCAATCCTTTGTTATATGAGTTACAGGTGTCTTATCAGGCTCTTCCTAATTTTCATATAGTCAAATTAAATATATTTTTTTCTTTTATGGTTAAAGTTTCATCTCTCTTCCTTGTGACATCCTTCTCTACCCCATGATGTTGTGTGAAATAGTGAAGCCTACTGGTGGTAAAGAAGCCTTTCACTGATGTAAGTTATTTAAGGACATGGTGCTATACCACGGCTGTGCAATTATTACAATATACAGTAGGATTGCAGAGTGCCAGCTCAGAGTACATTATTGTTAAACTTCCTAAAAAACATGAACTAAATGGTCATTAACATTACATACTTCACAACTGGTTAAACTTACGGCTCTGAGGAGAGGTATTTCACCTGGAAAACGTCTGCATGAGAATGCTTAGGGGAGACAAGCAAAACTGCCAATAAAAGGTGCAAGTAAGTTAAATATTTCTAACTATATAGTTTGCCTATCATTGAAACTGTTTAGTGAAGTTGAATTCATTGCTGAGAATAAAAAATAACCACCCAAACTAATTGGGGATCCCTACCATCACCAGAACTCCTCTCTTCAGCCAACTTGAATTCTTTGCTGTCACATAAACCAAAACTCACAGATCTTTGAGATGGGAACACTGTCCTATAAACACACTGCAAAAGATGAATTATATTTTCTCAAGTTTTAATTATATTTTCTCAAGTCTTTTACAATTTAAGTCCTTAATCCATCTAGAATTTATTTTAGCACATAGAGGAAAGGACTTATTTTCATTTTTTCCTCAGATGTACAATTGCTTGGCTGTATCCTCACTGTTAACTTCATTTTAAAATCATAAAATAATCTAATCTGTACTTTTCATCTGTTTTATGATGATGTAAATTCTACTGAATATGATGTTGACCATCCTTTACCTTTAACTTTTTTTTTTTTTGAGACGGAGTTTCACTCTTGTTGCCTAGGCTGGAGTGCAATGGTGCGATCTCGGCTCATCACAACCTCTGCCTCCAGGGTTCAAGTGATTCTCCTGCCTCTCGAGTGGCTGGGATTACAGGCGTGTGGCACCACGCCTGGCTAGTTTTGTATTTTTAATACAGATGGGGTTCCTCAATGCTGGTCAGGCTGGTCTCAAACTCCCTATCTCAGGTGATTTGCCCACTTTAGCCTCCCAAAGTGCTGGGATTACAGATGTGAGCCACCACACCCGGCCTACCTTTAACATTTTTTTATCAATTTGTTTCTTGTAATACCCCAAAATTTTCACCTAATGTCTTTCAACAGAATTTAATCCATTTACATTAGTTATACATAACATATTAAAACCCTAATTTACATTATTGTTTCTATATTATTTAATATTAAGGTGTCTTTTTTTTTTTTTTTTTAGCCTCCCAAAGTGCTGGGATTACAGATGTGAGCCACCACACCCGGCCTACCTTTAACATTTTTTTATCAATTTGTTTCTTGTAATACCCAAAAATTTTCACCTAATGTCTTTCAACAGAATTTAATCCATTTACATTAGTTATACATATTAAAACCCTAATTTACATTATTGTTTCTATATTATTTAATATTAAGGTGTCTTTTTTTTTTTTTTTTTTTTTAAAGATCTGACTCTGCTTCACAATTGCATGGAACTGACTACCTTTAAAGATTTCTGGCTAGGCACTGTGGCTCACGCCTGTAATCCCAGCAGTTTGGGAGGCTGAGGTGGGTGGATCACTTGAGGTCAGGAGTTCAAGACCAGCCTGGCCAACATGGTGAAACCTCGTCTCTACTAAAAATACCAAAAAAAAAAAAAAAATTAGCTGGGCATGGTGATAGGCACCTGTAATCCCAGCTACTCAGGAGGCTGAGGTGGGATAATCACTTGAACCCGGGAGGCAGAGGTTGCAGTGAGCCAAGACTGAGCCATTGCACACTAGCCTGGGCAACAGGAGCGAAACAGTCGCAAAAAAAAGAAAAAAAAAAAATTGATATAAACATTCATGTACAAGTTTTTATGTGGACATAATGTTTTCATGTTTCTTTGTTCTATATACCTAGCAGCAGAATTATTTGGTCATGTGGTAACTCTAGATTTAACCTTCTGAGGAACTACCAAGACTGTTTTCCAAAATGTCTGGAACAACTTACACTCAAACCAGCAGTGAATGAGAGTTCCAATTTTAACACCCTTTTCACCAACACTTCTTATCTGTTTGTCTTAGTATAGTTATCCTGTTGCAACTGATGTGGTGCCTTATTGCCATTTTGATTTGCATTTACCTGATGGCTAATGATGTTGAGCATCTTTTCACATACTTCTTGGAGGCTTGTGCATCTTCTTTAGATAAATGTCTATGCAGATTCTTTGAGAATTTAAAAACTGTGTTATTTGCCTTTTTATTACTGGCTTGTAAGAGTTCCTCATATATTTTAGATTAAGTCCCTTATAAGATATAATTTACAAACTTTCCCTCATATTCTATGGATTGTCTTTCCCATTCCTTGATGGCATGCTTAGAAAACAGTGTAAAATTTTCATAAAGCATAATTTCTAAAGATTTGAAAACACATTTACATGTGTTTTTAGCAAAGACATCACAGCCTAATCCAAGGTCCTAAGAATTTTGAAGTTTTATAAGTGCTTATATTTAGGTTTTTGATCCATTTTCGTTAAGTTTTGCATATGGTGAGAGATAGGGGTCTGTTGGAAACAGGCCCCCAAATCTGGCCATAAACAGGCCCCAAAACTGGACATAAACAAAATCTCTGCAGCACTGTGACATGATTGTGATGGCTATGACGCCCACGCTGAACGTTGTTGGTTTACCAGAATAAGGGCAAGGAACGCCTGGCCCATCCAGGGCGGAAAATCCCTTAAGGTGTTCCAGAACCGTGAACAACAGCATGAGCCATCTGTGCCTTAAAGACATGCTCCTGCTGCAGATAACTAGCCAGAGCCCACCCCTTTGTTTCCCGTTTTAAATTATAATCTATAGAAACAATGCTTATCACTGGCTTGCTGTAAATAAATATGTGGATAAAACTGTGTTTGTGGCACTCAGCTAGGAAGGCTGTCAGCCCCAATTCCCACTCTGCACTCTATATTTCTATGTGTCTTTAATTCCTTTAGTGTCGCTGGGTTAGGGTCTCCATGACTGAGCTGGTCTCAGCAAGTGGTGCCCATATGTGGGGCTTGAACCCAGGTCGAAGGGTCGCCAGAGCGATGATTGGAGAACGTGGAACTACGCTGGAGGACACCCGAGTACTCTTAAGCAATCCCTGTGGTGAGTAAGAAGGGGAGCTTAGAAGCATCAGGATAACACAGTGGGACAAATGTGGGCTCTGGTTCGTTCCACCTTGGAACCTTTTCACACTGATGAGGAGGAAGGAGGGTATAACAAAGTAACATAAGAGGTGACAGAGCAGGTCTGTTGATCAGCTAAAGCTAAAGCAGCAAAGGAGGGAGAGGTTTGTCCCTACCCTTCTGTACCCCCTCATTATTTTGAAGAAAAAGAGTGGCCTGACCCTCCAGATCTTTCTTTTCCAGAGGACAGTGGGTGAAAAGTAGTTGCCGCAGTAACTGTTCAGGCAGCGCCTCAAGCGACCACTCTCAGTTCTATTCAGGAATTCAGTAAGCTAGACAAGAGGGTGATATAGAGGCTTCGCAGTTCCCTGTTAGAATACACCACCCAGATCAACAGGGAAATACTACAGCTACTTTTGAGCCTTTTCTTTTTAAAATACTTAAAGAATTTAAACAAGTTATTAATCAATATAGACTAGGTTCTCCTTTTGTAATAGGACTGTTAAAGAATGTTGCTGTCTCCAGTTAGATGATACCAGCAGTCAGGACGGTAGGATTACTTCTAGGTAGGTCTAGTTTAAATTTATTTACTTATTTGACGAAGTTGCGCTCTGTCACCCAGGCTGCAGTGCAGTGGCAAGGTCTCGGCTTACTGACAGCTCCGCCTCCCGGGTTCACGCCATTCTCC